TCAGTTAAGGTTCAGAATGTTTGGCGGAAATTATTGCATACACAAATTTTCACTTGTCCTATATTGCATGATGAGCGTTGCTATTTAGCAAAGATGGCAAGTTTCTGGCCTATTCGGCACGACATATATATATATACTATATATATTTATATAGATTATATATTATATATATTATATCATCTTCAGAAGAAAAGAACAAATGCACTTCAGGAAAAATTCAATGTTCTCCTCAGAGCTGTTTGAATATTTTCTTCTACCCCCCCCCCCCTATATTTATATTCCATGTGAACTTTATTTATAAACAGAACGCACTGACAAAAAATACAAACGTGAATATATTGATACATTATATCAAAGATTATGAATCTCTTCCAGCTCCTCCAAAGCCGGACACGCGCCAAGTATGCAGGAAGCATTTGTTCTTTAGATGGCCACACTGAGGCGCTGAAACATGAAAGTGGCCGCCCTCGAGTCCCTGGTGGTGTCGATGAGTCTGGAACCCAGTTCTTTTAAGTAGCGTGTGGCATTTTTCCCCCCATGATCCCAAGGTCTCTGATCCCACAGGGACAAATTGATACTGTTAGCTTATGTCTCTGTACTTGCTGATCTTGTACTCCTCCCTGTGATCAACAGCTCTTCCCTGTCGCCCGACACTGTAATGGATGTAGGTGTCAGCCAGCGTCGACACGCAGGTATAGTCCCATGCTTAGAGCTTGCCATTCTTCAGGGTGGTTTGCTGGGTTGTGAGTATTGTTGGCTGCTAGTGATTGGGGCTCTCTCTCGACTGAGTACCCAGCTGTCGTTGACTTTATTGCCTTGCATGCCAACCCTTGGTTTTGGAGCAGTTAAGACCATGTAGACCATATTTTTCGGCTTTCACATCGCTGCAAATACATGCATATTCCATGTGAACTGGGGCAGCGAGGCGGAGAGCTACTGCAATACTGAGAGTCTTAGGGTCGAGGCATGTTCCCATTGTCGAAATGGGAACTGCTTGGAGGAAGTCTGCAGAGTGATGTGCACTCACAGCTTGGAGGCGAGCAGTCTTCCTGTCTGATGTTACATCCCTAAGCATGTTGGCAAACACCTTTTCAGCGATGGGACCATCCTAACGTGTAGGCCAGTGCTGTGATAGGTTTCGGTGCTGGAGCAGCAAGAGTCTCCCATTCAGTGATGGCCCTGGCGTAGCTAGGGTCCTGTATTCCTGCTGAGCCACTGAGGTTGTCTGGAAGAATTTGTTTTATTAACTCGTTTGATGCTATGGAAGAAGATAGGAAAGTTGATAGGGCAGCCCCCCCCAAGCCTGACTGGATGTGAAGCTTGCAACCACTGTCCATCTTCAAGGGAAAGATTCAATACACTCTCTAGGAGGATCAGATCAATGGCGCTCGGCCCAAGAGGAGCATCAAGGAGACTGCTTTTGGCTGGATCAATGGCTCGTGCTCCTGGTAAAACAGCACTAATATTCTGGATCATCTGTCGATTAGTAAAAATTATTTCTCATTTGGTGGGGTTTAAAGATAAGCCCAGGCTCTCTCCCATGTCTTTAATTTTTCTTATGTCCTCTAGAAGAGATTCTTTAGTCCCCGTTAGGATACCATCATCCAGGAACCAGATATTGAGCTCACTGGAGAGAGCTTCTGTGACTTCCTTGATGACCAGACAGAATAGAAAGGGGGCGAGATGATCCCCTGTTGCAAAGCCTCACACGAGTCAATTTTATGGTCCCCAGACAATAGTTTAGAAGTCACACTAAAACACTATTGTATGAAGGGATAGAGAGAAGGGAAGTGTCTAGAAATTGCTTGTTTCAAGAGCAGCATCCCTTCTACGTTGAAAGCGTTGGCAAAATCCAATTTGATCAAGGTTTTTTCATCTGACATGTTGTAATAAAGTTGGTAGAATTACCGACAATATGTAAAGTAAAAGGACACAAGTGCAACTAATGTGACATTTCATTGTGGCAACGTTTCGCTCTCCAGGAGCTTTATCATGCTCCAGGAGCTTTATCATGCTCCAGGAGCTTTATCATGCTCCAGGAGCTTTATCATGCTCCAGGTGCTTTATCCAGCTTCCTGGAGAGCGAACGTTTCCACATGAAAATGTCACATTAGTTGCACTTGTGTCCTTTTACTTTACATCTGACATGTGTTGATGTAAACTCGTGTCGCTGCGTCGGCAGCTGCCTACACGCCTTGTTGAACACCAAAACCCGAGCCTGTAGTAGAGATATATATATATATATATATATATATATATTTTATATTTTTATATTATATATATATTTATATATATATATATATATATATTATATATATATATATATGTTGTTGCTCAAGTTACATGGACGATATTTAAAAATATTAGTAAGAGAAACTCATACCAGGATACACAAGTGTAAGCAACTCGAAGACGATCAAATGAGGCTAAATCAAATTATGACACACAAACCGCTGTATTAACAAGTATAAAATTGGCTAATTCGCATCAGTATAGTCTAATAACAAGCTAAACTATCCTCTAAGTAAGACATATGAATTCTGAAGATTTGAAACTGATCAGATGAGTCACTCTCAAATTATGGCACGGAACCTCGATGAAAGTAAAATATTCCATCACTATCAAAAAAGATGAAATCTGTTAATTACCTGTTTTAATTTTTCCTACGACAAATTTTCTTTCAGCAGGATGTTCGCTGCGTGCATCTTAGTATTGCTCTCGTACGGACATTACCACAGCAATCTAAGCTTCGCTCGTCATTTTTCTTTTCCTACTGAAAAAGGAATCAGTCACAAAGTCGTCGCTAATTTTAGATGGGTACAGTTTAAAGATTATGATTTTGAGACATCTGTGTGCAGTCAATTATTTTCCAATTGATTTGTGATTTGAATGCAGTTGGTAGGAGATGTGTGATCTGAGGAATAGACGTTAGGGTACCTTTGTTGATTCATCAAAGCATCGAACATAAAATAAATCCTGCGAGAATCCTACAGCTCATGTTAGAACACTGGCGTCACTCGTTGAACATAGCATCGGATATAACCAAATCCTCTGAGATACACACAACAGACGTTAAAAGATTTAGTTTGGTTCAGCAGAGCATAAAAGTTAAATCGAATCTGCAGGAGACAATAAACGTTAGAGCAATCGGGTATGATTCAACGTAGCATTATATATAAACTCAGTCCTAAGGAAGTCAGGAAAGATTTTAGAACACTAGGGTTAAGACAACAAACAACACTGGGTTTGACACACCAAGGCCAAACAATTAACATCTGAACACTCGGGTTGAGGTAATAAATAACTGGAGGTAAATAAACTCTCGCGTGAACAATAAAGGCTTTTTAGTCTTTTGAGAACAAGGATTGTCGACGACATTCTTTTGAGAGAGCTCTGATTGCATTCAGACCAAGTGGATAGTAAAGAGTGGCCCCCTAACAGACGATTTGAAAGATTTAACAGGGTAGTTACACGCCAAAAGCCTTACCAATTGCGGCAACTTACATTACAAAAACAAATATTTTGTTGAAGTATTAGCTAATATTTGATATATTTTTCTGTATACTTGGGGTGGAATTTGACAGTGTTATCACCAGTGTTAAAGAATATAGATAAATATTAAGATGTGTGGGTGGGTATATTGATGGTTGGACGGATGGATGGATGTGCAGATAAATAGAAAGATGTTTGGGTGAGTACATAAATGCATGGATGAATGGACTGATGAAAGTATAAGTGCGTAGATAAACGGATGGATGTATGGGTGGGCGCGTATATGGACTGATGGATGATGTTACAGACGGATGGATGGATGAGTGACCGGAAAGATGAGTGTGTTGAGGCATCATATGCCATTTTAATCATTTTGCTGAAGCGTTCTTATGCTGACAGGTTTCCTTAGACGGGGTTTTACGGAACCCCAGGTTTAGTAATTTTTTTCCTTGAGTTTCGCAAGAAAAAATCTAAAAACAACTTAAATGCTGAGGAAAAGTTCTTGTGAGAAGATCTCCCAGCATAGTACAAGAGAGAAAAAATTTAATCCCATTGATTAATATTGTAAATTGATAATCGAGGCAGCACACTCTCGTCACTATGTGCCTAAGGTGTACTTTTTTAAACCCCCGCCCTAGGTGGTCAAACCACTTAACGTTCTTACCTCTCAACCTTTCCTATCAACATTTCTTATCTGTCAACCTTTCTTATCTACCAACCTTTCTTATGTATCATCCGTTCTCATCTATCGACCTTATCTTTTCACCCTTTCTTCCCTGTCTACTCACATCCTTATCACAATCCTTCCTTTCGTCATGCCTGGCAAAGACATTGTGTCCTTACAAACAAGAATTATCGCAGTAATGATCAAAAATTGGTGTGACAGCAGCTGGGTTGATGTGTGCGGAAACTAGGACTGGTAAAGGTTGGGGTTTTATTGAACTTGTTAAAGAAGTTGCAGGATAACGTACAGGCAGCAGTCACAGCATCATGTATAAACTAGTGTGCCTCATCATCTGTACTTGGTGAGGTACTTCGTATTGTTAGTGGGATTAAATCACGAGCTCCGAACTCAATGCTCTTCATTTGAGTGTGTGAAGAAATAGGCAGTGTTATTTATGTACAATGAAGTGCCATTGCTTATTTAAACTGTAGCTTGCAATTTTTATATGCCCTACCTAATGTCAACAGTGCACCGGAGGGATGGAGAACGTGGAATACCATGCTTTACTACCAGTACCTTGTCTGTCTACTGAAAAGCAGTAGCCATTAGCATAGACAAGAATTAAGTTTTAAAGCTTGTAAGGCCATATTTTAAAATGTTTTCCAATGCATTTCTACGTTTTTACACAAACACATGGGTACTCACCTCTTCTTCTGTATCTCCGGGGACGCTTCCTTGCTCCTGTTTGCTGCACCTCTAGTCATGGTTGCTGTGATAGCAGCAGCAGCTGAGGATGAGCGGTCCTGCAGGCAGATGTTCCTTTCTAAGTTAGCTATGTTCTGTTCTACATCGAGGAGATCCTGTGGTCGTCCTCAGTACACTCTCGAAAGCCTCCCTCCTGATCAGAACTCCCTCCATAGCCGTCCCAAAAGCCTCCTTCAACTCTCCCTCCAGTACTTCCTCCTATTCCTCCTCCTTTTCCCGGAGGAGGTATGTATCGCGCCTCGAAGGAGATGAGAGTCTGTGGAGAAGAAAGGAAGACGATATTAAAACATTCTTCACTCTTTTTTGGGGTTGAAACTCATGTTTGAGGAATAAGAATTTGTTTCTCTGCCTCGGCAAAGGCCTCTAGCTTAGTGCTTCTTTCCTACTTCACTCCCTACCTTCCTGCCTGTTATTTTGCTTGATTTCTCCCCCTCCTAACCTTCCTGCCTCCCTCACCCTCTCTCCTCTCTCTCTCTCTCTCTCTTCTCTCTCTCTCTCCTCTCTCTCCCACTCCTCTCTCTCTCCTCTCTCTCTCTTCTCCTCTTTTATCTCTCTCTCTCTTCTCTCTCTCTCTTCTCTCTTCTGTTCTCTTCTCTCTCTCTACTTCTTCTGCTCAGGGTTTTACAAGGTTAGTTTTAGTGTTCCTAATTTTATTTACAAGCTAAGTGCTGTAACCTACATCTGCTCATTTCACAGCCTTTTTATTGCTAAGAGATGTACACTTAAGGAACAGGATGAAGTTGCCAGCGAATTCATTTGGTCGACTGGCTTTATTTTGTTGATGTTATTATGCTGTATGAACATGTCCCAGACACGTGTCATCCTAGGGATAAATGGTTGCAGATGAATTTTTTTTTATGTTAATCTCCAAGGTTTATTACCTGGACCCTCAGCAATGAGAGTGGTACTCTTACCTGGGCAAACGGCAACCAGTGGCAATTGGGGTGCCCCCCCCGCAGATGAGGTGATGCTCTGGAGAAGAGTACAGTCACTGTAATTGCTGCTTGCTGCACGTCTTGTTGTGTTGAAGCTCACTTTTTGCTGTCCTCGGAGTGGAACCAAGTGTGGTACTTTGACAGTGTTGAAGGCTTTGCTGAAATGCCAGATCTGTCCAGGCTGGATCCAGGTGAGAGATGAGTTTACTTGCTCTGTTCTCTATATTGTCAGGAAGTCGCAGATGAGAGGGATGGGGAGGGCAGTCCAAGAAAGTGGAACATACTCAAGGTATGAGCATACCTGGGCCTCGTACAGAATCTTATAACCTTAACCATCGAGTAGATACGAGATACGTCTAAGTGTTTAAGTTTCCTGGTCGCATTGTTTGCAAGATTTAGGACGTGGTTCTTCGTAGTCAGTTGGAATCAAGTTTCAACTTCATCCCCGGGTTCCAACACTCTCCTAATCATTCTTGCCACTCCCTCCAGCATCAATATCATGGTGCCTAGAATATCTTCATTTGTGTTTGCTCCGAACAAATTTAACCTGCCATCGTTTTACCCAGGCTGAGTTAGATGTAAGCTGGGGGATTGATGTTACTTAGAGCTGATGCTGGTAATTTAGTTCTTGGACAAGTAAATGACAGATTACAGTTCTCTCTCTCTCTCTCTCTCTCATCTCTCCTCTCTCTCTCTCTCTGTGTGTCTGTGTCCTCTCTCTCTCTCTCTGTCTCTCTCTCTACTCTTCTCTCTCCTCTCTCTCTCTCTCTGCCTTTGTATATTCAGACCTTCCTAATATTTAACGTTATTCATTAATTTAGTATGCTTGTTTACGAAGCATGTTAATTATAGAAAAATAATAATCATGAAAACTTGTGACACCCAACTGGGTGATCTGTGCTCGAGCTTCTTACCAGTTTTGGTGGGTGATACGATGTTAATATTGGCAAGATGCTTAGAATACTGGATAATATGCCTTAGAAGAAACAGTAGATAAGATGCTTAGAATAAGTGGTCGATGGTGGTTCTGAGTCATAAAATGGCGCGTGCTAAATGGCTGGTGCTAGGTTTACAGAGAAATTTAAAAAAACTTCAATAAAAATCCCCCACAAAAAAGAGAGATATTTTTCTGAGGTTAAAGAGCTTGAATCCCATAACTGATGAGAAAAGAACAGTTTTTTCAACGTTAGGATGGAGAGGATGGTACGATTCAAGTGTATGGTCAGCTTGGAAATGTTGAGAAATCTGAGGACGTTATTATGAGAAATAAAACAGTTTAAAATGTTTGTAGTTCCCGAGGGGGTTTTGTGCGAGGAGGGAATGTAGTTTTTGGTTTCTTATTTAAATTTTTTTTAATAAATCTTTGTAACTGAACAATGGGTCAGAGTGGTATGATGCCATCCCTTAGAGCTTAGACAGACTGCATATCGTTTAGAGGTAAATTAAACAGGACACAATCAAAATGAAACGCAAACCACAATTTACACACACCACATACACATCACACACACACACCACACACACACACTCACACAGTGGGTCAGTGGGGTGAGACGTGGTGTAACAAGGCTCCGAGACCTTGGCGTTGAAAAGACGCGTTATTATCAGCTAGAAGTAATCGTGGTTGTGGAACGTCAGTGAACAATACTACGAGTGATAAGTAAAGGTTATTAGATAAAGAAATGAGAGGAAAGACTGAAATCATAATTATTCAAAGCGCTAACCGTTGGGGGTCTTAGCCTGTTTGCCACATTGGCAGCGTAGTAGGCCTGAGAAGTGACGTCACGACACGTTGTGTGCCATTATATTCTATGAAGTTAAGTGTTATCATATTGTGAAGTGTATACTACCATCAGTGAAGAGTGAAGTGAGGATGCGGAAATATATGGTTATAATCTTCACAGGGGGAAGGATCTCCAAAAAATAGGGATTTAAGGCCTTACGTACGACTACGTCATCGAGCTGGCACTGTCAACCGCAAGTTTATTCGCTAGTTGTGGTCTTGCATGTTTGACGGCCCCTGGCTGGCTTGTATACTGTTTGATACTGAGTCACTCGCTCCTGCAAGCTATTACCAGAATTAGAATAGAAATAGCATAGACTAGAGAATATAGTGTTGAACGAGTGTGAGAAGGTAGGTGGACAAGTTTTTAAGTGGCAACATGGTAAGCGGTGCTAGGGATGGTCCCAGGAGGTTAGTCAGGTCACAAGAAGTTGGGCCAGTCATTACACCGCACAAGACTCTTCACACACCAACACACACACACCCCACACAACACACACCACACACACACGCACACACGCACACAGGCAGTGTTTCTACCGGTAGTTATTAGCAGTAAGATACTTAGGAAGCTAGAAGTCCTCTCTCAATGTGAACAAGGAAAATGATAATAACCAGAGCAACAATTAAACAGTAAATCCTGACAAGGGCCAATAAGTGGAGAGAGTAGCATAATGGGAAAGATAAAATGAGACTAAATTTTGTGCCTACACGACGGACCTCTCAACCCCCCCACCCCAAACCATCCCTCCTCAACACAAAAGCACACACAACAAGGGTAGACACTCTCACACACACTCATACACACACATACACCAAATTACACACACACACATATTACACACATACGTAAACACGCAAACTCACTCACACACATACACCATACAAATACACACACACACACACACACACACACCCACACACACACACACACACACACACACAACACAAACACACACACACATTCACACACACACATTCACCACAACACTCACTTAACACACACTCACACACAACACACACCACACTACACACACACCACACACAACACACACACACAACACACCCTCCGCCACTTGACACCACTAGCCTTAGCCACCTACCCCCACTTCCCCCCAACCACCTAACCCCTCCCATACCCGTCTAACCCCCGCCCAACAACCTCCCTCCCTCCAATAAACCATCCTCCCCTTCCCCCATAACCATCAATCCCCTCTCTCCCCCAAACCATCTAACTCCCTCCCCCATCCCATCTAACTCCCTCCCCCAACTATCTCTGCCCCTCCAATAACATCCTCCCCCTCCCCCAATCCATCCATCCCCTCTCCTAACCCGCTATTCCCCTCCCCCTAACCAGGATGATGACAAGGGGCTCCAAGGACGAATTCTGAGAGGGAGGAATGGGAGATAAGAGCTCAAAAAAAGGGAGGGAAGGACTGGGGTCAAGAGACTAGATGAGCTGGAAAAGGAAGATGGAAAGATGTGGTTAGCAAGCAGAATGCAGAAGGTGGAAGCAACAGGCCACAGCAGCAGAAAATCAAGATAGAGGATTAGAAGAGGAGCTGAGACATCTGAAACAGCACAGAGACAAAGATATTACAGAAGTAGCATCGGCAATGGCTACATCGAACACAGACAACCATGTCGAAGGAAGCATGAAACTAACTGTATGCAGAGGTTCCTTGATCAAACCCACATGGGGCCAAAACAAAGACAGGGAGCACTCTAGGACAAGGAAAGAGTGGTTGAGGTGTAAGACATTGATGGAACTAGGGACATGTGCAAGACCTTTCCAGGATTCCTGTGGGGGCCAGGAGCAAGTGAGCAGGAAGGATAACCAAGAAGAAGCTAGGGGCCATAAAGAGGGAAGGGACTGAAGGAAGGAAACACTCCACGGGAAGGAACTAGAACACATAGAGCAGGATGCAATGGGAGTCGCAGTGCGGAGGTGGAAAGGGGTGATCCGTGTTTTTGTATATGGGCTAGACGAAGCTAAAGGGGAAACTTATGATGGAAAGATTAGCAGGAGGAGAAAAAAGCGATAGAAGACATCAATGAGGTGATAGGCGAGGGGACATGACCCAGAGGCAAATTTTCGGAGAATTGGTGGTTCACAAAGAAAAGGATTCGGCCTCTCAAAGTAATTTTCCAAGCAGAATCAACCGAAACCCATGATCCTGAGTGAGAAAGCACGGCTGAGAGGCAGGCAAGCAGGAGTTTCCGGATGTGTGTACCTCGACCAGTGAACAGAACACAGGACGAAAGGAAGACAATGAAAAGAGAGGAGAGTTCAAAAACGAAAGGAGAAATGGGGGGGAATGAAAAAGGAGAGAAGAGAATAAACCCCCAGGATCAAAATTGGCGAAGGACAAGCGCACCCCCCCAGAAAACACCTGCAGAAGGACTCCAGCCACGACACCCAAGGCAACTGAACATTCCAACCAACCATCACACACCGATCCTCTGTTTCACCCCCGCACCACAGTTACAGTATTAGAACAGAAGTTGAAGTTTGGTACCACAAATGCTGATGGATTA